ACTTGGTCACCAAAGGAAACAATGTTGGTCAAAGATTGGCAGTGCTCCTAGAGAGATGTGCACCGAGGGCTTGAAGGAAGGCTTGAAGTTGTTGAAGGAAGGAGTTGGGCATTGCAATGCCTTATTGCAAAGCACACCAATCTTTCTGAAGGATGCACGGGTAGCTTTGAAATCAAGAGCTTATGCCAATATGGCAATAGGTAGCAAGGTTGATAGGATTGGTGAATGATTGCTTGTTGTAGGTCTAGCAAATTTGCTCGGCGTGCAATCTTACTTCTCATGGTTCTGTTAGTTAAGTAACCATTGATCTGTTATGTTTAGGAAGGCATGCATGTGTGTGTTGCATGGTATCCCAACAATATTCATTGTCGTGCTAATTCTTATATATGTGCGGATGATGTTGATATTCTATCTAAGAATGCATATCACTACTAGAATCGTAAGAATGGCTGACTGTTTTTAAACAGCCGGGCATTACCTTGCACCGTCAGTAAATACAATAGCCGAGTGTATACCGTTGGCAAGTTCTCGTCGGCCATTCTTGGTCGGGAATACCCCTTTCGCTGACGAGCGGTCGGTAAGACAATGGCCAGTGGTGGCCCGTTGGCAAGTTTATGGTCAATGGTCTTGGTTGTTAGTGGGCCCAACATGCTTCGCCAATGGGACCATGGTGGAAAATTTTAGTACCAAAGTGTAATTTATGATAATTTTAAAACTTCTTTTTATAATAAAATCCAATAAAGTGTAGATAAATATTTTAGTAAATATAAATATTTATCCATAAGTAAAAATAATATATTTTTTCATAAATTAACTAAAAAACTGTGAGGCATGACCAGTAAAACCCAATCAAGTCAGCTTCATGGTCTCATGAGAGTCTTTTATAAAGCAAGTCGGATCAATGGAGTCTCCATGAACGAGCACACATAAAGAGTGTCGTTCTCATTTTTGGAGAATAAAATTTTTCAATTTGGATCAAATTTATATACAATAAATTACTAATATATATGATGCACAATAAGTATTGTTAGATTATTCATTGAATGTATTTTTATTATCTTATTTTGAAATACAAATATTGTTAATATTTTCTATAAATATAATTAAAATTAAGAAAATTTGACATGCACAAAATTTTAGATGACTTTGGGCGTGTTTTGTTGTAGGCCACTACCAGTCACGCCGCTGCTGTGTCCGCCACACTGTGTGGCGCCGAAAATGTCCGTCACACTCTGAGGTGAGAATCCCACCTTTCTCAACTATAGATTCCCGTGTCTGCTTTCATTGAATGCTCAACCAAACACGCACCGACATCTGTGGCTCGCCCAAACAGGCTCTTTCTTTTTACGATGGCGGGGGAGAGTACTCTACTGGTCAGGAGGGATTTTTTTATTATTTTTAACATTTTTTGAAAATTAATTTTAAATCTAATCATTGTTTGTTTTTTTTTCTAAAACTAACACTTCTTGCCGCGACTATTGCCATGATGTGACAAAACGCCTGTGCCGGTGCGTGATGGGAGTATGACGTGGTGAAGACCGAGGACACTTCACCAGTGACCGGTGACCGGTGACGTGGCAGGATCGCCGCGCCACCGGCGCGGCGCCGCAGGCCATCCCTCACGGCGCGACAGTCCCCGGCGCGCGATGCGGGCACGCAACGGAGACGGCGGGCTGTTGCGCCTGCGCCTGCGCCACAGACAGGCGCGCGCCGCGGATGCGACGGCTTGGGTCACTTCACTTTCGTCGCGGGCTGCTGCGCCTGCGCCACCGACAGGCGCGCGCCGCGGATGCGACGGATTGAAGAATCCCCCATCCGTCCGCGCACGCAACGGAGACTGCGACAGCGACACACGCGCCGGCGCGGCCTCGGAACTCGGAGAGCCCAAGCAGACGGGTTGCGTTGTGTCGCAGTGTCAGCTAGTACATGCATGCATCCGTTGGTCCGGCGTGAGGACGTGAGGAGGTTGGTCTGAGCCAGGACTGAGGTGGATTGGATGAATGGAGACACGGAGGAGTGAAGTGAGGCTGGGCTAGGTTGGTGGCAATGATGGTGGCCCAGGCAGCAAGGCAGACCGCGCAGCACGAAGTGATGGTCAGTCTCAGTTTTCTATGCTTTCTGTACATGGCTTTGAGGATACGCTCATATCGAGCACAAGTGATATTTGTTATATTTTTACGAATAGGTGTGTATGTCAGAATTAGAATAAAACTGTTTTATGTTACACTTCACAATTTATTGTCATTAATGGTTGACATTTTCCTGTATGATCTGATAATTTATTTAAAGCACAGTGCACATATAATTTTTATATTGATTATTGGACTGCTATACTGCTTAGGTAATGACGTGCAAGATTGTGGTTTTGATTTGGCCTCGTTTCATGTCTTTGCAGCCTGATTTGTATATCCTCTATAATATTTTTTTCAAAATGTACTTCAGGTGAGATGATCCATCATTGTCATGGCCTACAGTAGAAGGACCCGCTTTCTCCGATGAAACAAAGTCAAATTCAGGTTAGCTTATGCTCAAACAATAATATTAAATTCTCTCAGTCCAACACCAGCTACGACTGACAAAATGATTTAACTTCATCAGGATGATCTTATTTTTTTACATAACTAGAGTGAAACAATATACTCAAATAATGAAACTTCAAATTTGGTTTTATGCTCCAGTGGTATATCAGTGGTTCGTGCTGCGCGGTCTGCCTTGCTGCCTGGGCCATCATCATTGCCACTCACCTTGGGCATTCGGTCAGACCGAACCGATCGGTTCGGTTCCTCGGTTATTCGGTCAGTTCGGTCATCAGAAACCTGGAATCGATTGGTCTTTGCAAAAAACGAAGACCGAGGAAGTTCGGTCTCGGTTACTTCGGTTCGGTCTCGGTCATGACCAAACTAACCGGACCTGAGTAGCACCACAAAACAATAGCGAGAATCTATAGCAATTTTCAACAAAGATGCTTGCTATTTGAAGGCAAAAAAAATAACAACACAATATATAAAACAAACCGCACATTATTATGACAAGTTCTAGCACACAACTTTCTCAGTTCTCACAAATCACAATCACACATAATGACATTACGAACGAAGTCTACAGAACTACGGTCAGTTCGGTCACTTCGGTTAACCGACACATATGACCGAACTTCTATCGGTTACTTCGGTTAGTTGGGAGCCAGGACCGAACTCATGACCGAACTTTTCAGTCTCGATCTTTTTAATCTCGGTCTCGGTCTTTTTGGTTCGATCTTCGGTCTTCTGTTAATTATGCCCAGAGTTAATTGCCACCAACCCAGCCCAGCCTCACTTCACTCCTCCGTGTCTCCATTCATCCAATCCACCTCAGTCCTGGCTCAGACCAACCTCCTCACGTCCTCACGCCAGACCAACGGACGCATGCACGTACTAGCTGACACTGCCGCTTGGGCTCTCCGAGTTCCGAGGCCGCGCCTCTCCGTTGCGTGCGCGGACGGACGGGGGATTCTTTCAATCCGTCGCATCCGCGGTGCACGCCTGTCTGTGGCGTAGGCACAGCAGCCCGCGACGAAAGTGAAGTGACCCAATCCGTCGCATCCGCGGCGCGCGCCTGTCTGTGGCGCAGGAGCAGGCGCAGCAGCCCGCCGTCTCCGTTGCGTGCCCGCGGCGCGCGCCTGGGACTGCCGCGCTGCAAGGGATGGCGCGGCGGCGGCGCGTTAGGATGGGTGCTAGTCAGTGTCTCTAGTCTTTCGGCCTGTTCGCTGGTCGGTTTCTGGGCTTGTTTGGGCTGGCTGGTGCTGATTTATTGTGAGAGAAAAACACTGTTGGCTGGCTGATTTGGGCTGGCTGAAACCAACAAGCAAACAGGGTGTTTGCCACGTTATACTTCCACCGTACCACCATGCATGGCGTTTCACCGCGCCATCGTAATAGGCGCGGTAAAAAATGTTAGTTTTGGAGAGAAAAAAACAATGTTAGATTTAAAATTAGTTTAAAAATAAAAAAAAATCTCAGGAGGCGGGTTGTGTCTTTCAGAATCGTTGGTCATGTCGTTGCTTAGCACGGTTTATGCCTGGATGGCACACGTTTCTGCTTCTCTTGTCAGCCGTCACAACTAGAGTACTCCGATGATCCGATCTGTCTGTCGGCCGACGGGCCGGCGGCGAGCCGGGAAGCCAATGGAGAGACGATACGAGGTGGGCGGCGTGGCGCTGCCGTCCCTGCGCCGTACGCCACCAGCCATCCAAAAAAAAGTACTCTTGTCTGATCGCTTCCAAGTTCCAAAACTTCTCCATCATTCACTTGAGCTAAAGCGGAAGCTGCCGCTGCAGTTGTGGCTGTAAGCCACTCAACAGAACACTGTGCAATGGCTGCAACAATTGTTTGTTTGCTGTATGCCTCGTGACCATTGGTGCGCACCTCGTAGCTTGTCGCTGTCGCGCATGTTGACATGAAACCCAACCACTCCAGTGGATCAGACAGATGGCTTGACTTGGTCCCACGTTCTGTAAACTGCACGCCCCTTCTGACTACGAGTCGTGCACAAAAGACAAAGGTCCTCACTTCGCTGAACACGTTCAGTAGGCAGTACAGGATACTGCACTGCATGCCCTTCGTGATCCCAATGGCAGTAATCAAGATTGTGCTGGATCGAGCATGCCTTCGCCATCGAAGATGTTTCTTTCTTCCAAAGCTGAGCGAAAGAAACAAACCATATACATATGCCGCGACGTGGTGCACGGTGCGCTTTTTTTTGTTTGTTTGTTTGTTATTGGTGTCTCGGCCCAATGTGTCCCACACCCATTCCCATCCACCGTGCAGTGCAGATCGCTACTGTGCGGTTGGCGGTTTGCGACGGCGACGGGGCGGCGGATGAGGGTCCATAAATCCCGCGCGCGGTGGAATAGTCTGCCCGACCGTCACTCTCCGGTGCGAGCGAGCAGCAGCTAGCTACCGCCCCCAGTCAAGATTCCTTCGGTCCAGCAGCCCGAGAGCTCAGCTCCGCTCCCCACCATCATGGACGGCGCCGCCCTGCTCCTCGTTCTCCTCGTCGCGGCCGTGCCCCTCTCCGCGGCCGGCGACGCGCACCCGGGCTACTCCGACGAGGGCACCTGCACGGTGGGCGCGGACCTGCGGCGGCTGGAGGAGGGCGGCGGGCGCGGGCGCATCATCGACATCACGCACGCGTACGTGCCGGACCTGCCGGCGTTCGCGACGGGGGCGGTCACGGGGCCCGTGGTGCGCCTCAAGGAGTCCATGGCGGACGGGTCCGAGTACAACCTCTCGGAGCTGCGGATGGAGTGCCACGCGGGCACCCACGTCGACGCGCCGGGACACATCAACCAGGCCCACTTCGCCGCCGGCCTCGACGTCGACACGCTCGATCTCGACGTCCTCAACGGTACGCGAACGTGACATCATCTCAGAAATCCCTGCTCTTTGGGCGATTGGGCCGGCGTCTGTTCAGATTTTGTAGACCTGCCGAGGAGGGCACACAAGAAAAGGTCTTTCAACTGATTGATAGCAAAATATCATAGAATAGACATAGAATTTTTGGTTGGGAAATTCGAATGAATCAAAGTGAAAAAGGAGCAAAGAACTTGGTGGGGGAGGGGACTCCGACTGGGAAGGACGAGATGAGGAATTCGTGATTCCCCGATTCTTTGGCTACCACTCACTGCTTGTCCGTTAGCGCGGCAGCCGCTGGCAGGATAATTCTGAAACCCTCCTCACTGTTGCTGACAAGCCGGGTCCACCGGGCAGCCACACTTCCACATCTCGCAGCCAAGACCTCCAACGAATTTTTGGCTAGGATAGTTTACAGAAACTCCCGTAAAAGGTGCTATCTTTTCTCTAGGATCTGCCGTCTGCGCAAGAACTAGGTGCCACATAGAGTAGAGTGCTGACTTTCTTGAACTTGTCGAAAGCGACACTAGCATGCACATATGTGATCGTCTTCATATTCGTTGGAATGATGCAAGTGAAAAGGCGTTGCGTTGCGTAGGGTGGCTTCGGCAGTCGGCACCAACATGCTGCTCGAATTGGAGCCCAACTGGGGCCTCATCAATTTTTTTTTTTTTATCACGCCTCACCCCTTTGCTATTTCTAGAAAAAATGGTTTCTAAACTCGAAGACTCGTCAGACGTCAGTGTCCGTCCTTTATCAGTTTTTATCCCAATAATTAAGGCATGAACAAAAGCCAAATCGTTCCGTGTCTGAAATGAAACGATAAGTGCTATCAAAAGCAGCAGAATGCAGCTGCTCGGTTTCCTGTTCGCAAGCTCCGACTGCGAGCTCGTTACCATGTCTTCAGGCTTCAGCACATAACCGGGGTTGGTTTCTTATAGATGATGTTTTCACATTCAGAATCAGAAGGGATGCGAGAAAGGCTATCAGTTCTGAATTTGGCATGTTATACTTGATTATATATGGTTCATTCATGTCGTAAATGCTTTGACTGACCATGATTGGCTCATCTTCTCTGGACAGGACCTGCGTTGCTAGTTGATGTTCCGAGGGACACAAATATAACAGGTACAACACTTTCATTTTTTCTGTCAGTGGACTAGATACTTTACCAAATTATCTGTTGAACCGCCTCGTTCCCAACTGTTGCTCTTAGGCGGATTCTGATCCATACCAGCATTTGATGTGCACGCACTTTTTCATACATGCTATCATCTGGCAAAGATTCATATAACATGGTTTGAGATGAGCATATATTCACTTCTGTGGTGCTGAAACCCAATTTCTCTATCAAACCTTGTCTGCTAGTGCGGCTCCAGAGAATAGGCCTATGTTTGCTGCCTAGGATTTACTACCAGTAGTATATAGGTATATGAAACCCCAATAACTCTATGCAGCTGAAGTGATGAAATTCCTAAATATCCCAAGAGGAGTTCGCCGAGTTCTATTCAGGACACTGAACACTGACAGGTATGGCTTATGAGTTTCACCATTCAAAGAGCACTAGACAACCATTTTATGGACTGCACTGAACGTGTAAGCAAATGTCTTTTAGGAAGTTGATGTGGAGGAAGGGAGGTGACATGAGCTATGTTGGATTTACCGAGGATGGCGCACAGTGGTTAGTTGACAACACTGACATAAAGCTAATTGGTAAGAAATTATTTCCCTGACGACAAAGCTTTGTTTTCCTTACATGTTGGTTTCCATCTATTCATAACATTTCGTTGTCATGAACCTGACACACACTTGCCAGGAATCCATAGTTGGGGACAAACTTTCAATTTGTTCTGAGATATTTCTTGGTGGGTCAGTTGAAACTTACAAAATACAGCTACTGTCAATTATGCAGGAGTTGACGGTCTATCAGTTGCAGCATTTGATTACTTGATCTCTGCCCATGTGGTCTTCTTCAAAACCCCGGTAAGATACATATAGTTTGCTGACCAAAACATTTCAGGCACAACCAGATAACTTTGGCTGCATTTAGCATACCTGTAATCTCATTCTGTTATTCCCTTGTTCTGCCGCAGAAGATTCCCATGTCAATTGTCAAGCGGGGTTACTGACTAGTGACTACATAACTCAAAAAAAAAATGTTTGCTTATCGCATAGCATCTAAACCGTTGATTAATTTTCCCTTTATTATACCAGGATATAATCCCTGTTGAAGGCCTGAAACTAGACGACATTGAGGCGGGAATATATATGCTGCATTGTTTACCTCTCAGGCTGGTTGGAGCCGAGGGTGCACCGACCAGATGCATCCTCATCAAGTGATCATTCCCTGCTCTTGCTGGACGTGACATTGTATCATGCCAGCTGAGCTGATGCTTCATCGTGGCCAACTTATTGGTTCGCAGTCTTAGTCTATATGAAACAAAATATTGTATGCCCATGTAGATATGCTTGTATGGACAATAAAGAAGCAGCAATACTTCCATCAAGAAAATACTTTTGGGTAAGCCGGTAATGTAAGACAGACCTACAGTTATCTGTAAACTAGAGTCCTGAGAGGCTGAGACCTCGTGCTTCACAAATGACAAATGCAGAAATCAACAAAGTTCTGAAAAGAAGCAAGACTTCAGCGCCCAATTAAGCTTCTGAATTAGTATCATGCCTTTATTTTGGCAATTGGTTGTTGCTTGTTGCCTCACATCTGCCATGTGTTGGATTGAATTGGGCTTGGCTCGTTTATAATTAATTAAATCAAATAAATTGAGGATTTGGATCAAAAATAAATGCTAGTTGCAATACAGGTTTGATCCCACTTAAGAAATTGACAGGAATTTTAAATTGGTGCTATTGCGTGCACCTGCTGAGAAGGTGAAAGGTGAAAGACGTGCCACACGCTAGGGCCTTTTTGGCAGGGCTCCGACCTCCGGCTTTGGCTTCTCGTGGCTCCTCGCAAAGAGCCTTGCCAAATGGTCACCTAAAAAATGGCCTCTTGCAAGGAGGCCCAAAGGAGTCAGAGCCGTTTCTATATAGAGGAGTTGGTGCTGCTGAAATGTGGCTTCTTGGCTCAAATTATTCTAAAACTGCCGCTAGAGTTATTTTTGCCAAACGTTTTACAAAATGGCTTCAACTCCATCAGAGAAGCTGCTCTACGTGAGGAGTTGAAGCCAGAGAACTTTTCCCGTTTGGTAGGGATTGTCGCCGCACTAAAAAGTTCATTAACTGAATCTGATGATTCTGATCTCATCAATATGATTCACAACTGTGAAGAACCTATTATAAATGCTTCCAGTTAATATGTTGTTATCATAGGCACAATTTTAATGTGTTAGCGGCGATCTCTTTTTTATTTATCATGGCCTGTATAGAAAGAGAGGCACATGTAAACAATTCAACATAAGTTGTATTCGGTTTGAGGGTGAAATTGGATGGAATAGGGCGATCCATATTCTTCGGGATATAGAATAGTATATGTTGGGTGTTTGGTTGGATACACTGGAACGAGCGTGGATGGTATCATCTTTATTTTTTTGGTTGATGGGATGATAAAAAATGTTGTGTGCCCATGTATGTAGATATATTTTTGTATGGTCAATAACAAAGCCTTTAAGTCCCAAACAAGTTGGGGTAGACTAGAGTTGAAACCCATCAAAAGTAATCAAGGTTCAGGCACGTGAATAGCTGTCTTCCAAGCACTCCTATCTAAGGCTAAGTCTTTGGGTATATTCCATCCTTTCAAGTCTCCTTTTATTGCCTCTACCCAAGTCAACTTCGGTCTTCCTCTGTCTCTCTTCACGCGTTACTATCCCGACTTAGATGCCACTACGACCTGCCTCTGGGGTCTCCGTTGCACATGTCCAAACCATCTCAACCGGTGTTGGACAAGCTTTTCTTCAATTAGCTACCCCTAATCTATCACGTATATCATCGTTCGAACTCGATCCCTTCTTGTATGACCGCAAATCCAACGAACATACGCATTTCATGAAAACTTAGCCGTTGAACATGTCGTCTTTTTAGAGGAAAGATTCTCACGCACCATACAACATAGCAGTGTCTAATCGCCGTCCCTATAAAACTTGCCTTTTAAATTCACAGCCTTTTGTCACATAGGACACCAGGCTTGCATTCATCCACCCCTTTTGATTCTATGGCTAACATCTTCATCAATGTCCCCGTCCCTCTGTAGCATTGATCCTAAATATCGAAAGGTATCCTTCCTAGGCACTACTTGACTTTCCAAACTAACATCTTCCTCCTTCCGGGTAGTAGTGCCGAAGTCACATCTCATATACTCAGTTTTTGTATGGTCAATAAAGAAGCAATAATGTTTCTGCCGAGACAATGGGGGGAAAATGTATTTTGTGTAAAGCCAGTTATGTAAGACAGACCTACAGTTGGATGTAAACAAATGCAGAAATCAGAATCAGTAAAAGTTTTGAAAGAAGAGACGAGACTTCAGAACCCAATTATATTAGCCTTCTGAATCGGCATCATGCATAGTATTTTGGCAATTGGTTGTTGATAGTTGCTATCATATCCGCCGTGTGCTACAATTTTCTCCTCGAAATGGAGAAAACAGGTAGTCTGTCGTCTCGCTAAGGAGGACGAACGGAAGGCTGGAAGTCAAGCTACCTGACCTGTGCTGCAGATGCTGAAAGAAATCAAGAATCGCTTTCCTGTTGTTTTTCTCTCTCTTACAAATAAAATGCTGAAGGAAACCCCCAGGAACCAGGCCTCTCAAAAGCCGTGGCGTCCAAACAGCTCAGTTGCGTAACATTATTGCTCAGTTGGCGCTCATCTTCTTGTCTTCTGGTCTTCTGGACTGCGTCGCGCCGTCGTCTTCTGGTCGTCTGGACTGCGAGCTCGTGGCCATGTCTGCTTCTCCTCTGATGGCGATGCTCCTGCTCGCCTCAACACTGGCGCCGCGCGTTCCTGTCGCGCTGGGGAAGCGGCGGCATGAGCGCCGCCCACCCGGCGTACGCCGACGCCACGGCCTACGGTACGGCGGCCTCTGCCGTGGAGGCGGGGCTTGAGGAGTACGGCGGTGGGCGCATCGTGGACATCACGCACGCGTACCGGCCGGAGCTGCCGTTCCCCGGGCGGGACGGGCTCGGCGCGGTCACCCGGCTCACGGAGTCCATGGCCAACGGCTCCGTCAACAACGTGTCGGAGCTGCGCATGGTGGGTGCTCTCCGGCACCCACGTCGACGCGCCGGGCCACATGGTCCAGGAGCACTTCGAGGCCGGCCTCGGCGTCGACAAGCTCGACCTCGACGTCCTCAATGGTAGGCTGAATGCGTTCCTCCGTTTCAACATGGATTCTGGAGTCGATCGAGTTGAGGAAACATCACTAGTCTGAACCTGGGATGGGTCATGGGTGCGTTTCTTGTACGGCACATTGTCAGGTTCAGAATGGATGCGAAATTGACTGAATATATTGTACTATCACAGTATCACTGTTTACACCATGTTTAGAGTGCAGGGATTTCACATAAATTTTGTAGGACTTCTATATGAGGATTAACCCAGACAAACCATACCAAATTTCTGCATTCTGCTCTACTTCACTGTTATAAACATTCTGCATGTAAGAATGGATTCAAACCCACTAGGTTCTCATGTATGATTTGACAGAGTTTGATTCCTCTTTCTGGACAGGGCCTGCGTTACTCATTGATGTTCCGAGGGACACAAATATAACAGGTATCATGCTTAGGGCCTGTTCGGTTAGTCCGGATTGAGGCCAGGAATTATTCCAGCTGATCAATGTTATACAAATTAGAAAATCGTTTCAGCCGGGAATTGTTCCATGTCTTTGTTCCGAGGTAACCGAACAGGCCCTTAATGTTTTCAATGAACTAGATCCTCTCCTCTATCAACTTATCTGATGAATTACCATGTAACTGCTACTCCCTCCGTTCCAAATTATAATTCGTTTGACTTTTTTTTGACCCGACCACCACTCGTCTTATTCAAAAAATTTGTGCAACCATAGTCAAATTTAAGTCATTCTTGAGGAACTTTTGTTAATAAAGCAAGCCACAACAAAAGATGTGATATTTTGCATAAATTTTTGAATAAGACGAGTGGTCAAACTTTAGGTCAAAAAAGTCAAACGAACTATAATTTGAAACGGATTTAGTACTATTTATCATTCTAATAAGCATTCATACAAAATTCCTCGGAAACATGTATTATTGTACAGAGATATCAATTTCTCTATCAAATGCATCATCATGTGCAAGCTTGTGTTGATAGACTAACATTAGTTACACAAGTGTGTTAATTTTCCTTCTATAGGATGTAAATGGGGCATTGTATAGTACCTGGTAGTGTCTTGATACCCACTTACTCCATGTAGCTCAAGCAATGGAGTCCCTAGATATCACGAAAGGGATTCGCCGAGTTCTTTTCAGAACACTAAACACTGACAGGTACGGATCTTCTTCATCAGGATATAATATTGCAAAGTTCAAATATCATTAGACAACTATTGTGTAGACTGCTGAGTGCTGAACATGAAAACAAATGTTTTCCAGGAAGCTAATGTCGACGAAGGAAATTGACACGAGTTTTGTTGGGTTCAGAGAGGATGGTGCACAATGGTTAGTTGACAACACTGACATCAAGCTAGTTGGTAAGAAATTATAACCCTGACAGCACATGAATAATACTGTACTGTCTGAATGAAGCTTGGTTTCTCTCGTGTGCTAGTTTCCATCTGTCGGTAATTTTTTTTTATCTCGATTTAGAGTTGCTGACTATCTAGGAGCCTGGAATTGTGAATAATTGTTTCTTCTTTGACTTTTTGCTACTTGGTGAATCAATACATATAGTACTTAACTTACTGATATGGAAAGTATGCAGGGATTGACTATCTATCAGTTGCGGCATTTGATCACTTGATACCAGCCCATTTGGTCTTTTTAAATAGACGAGTAAGATAATGCAGTTTCCCACCTTGTGTGTAGCATCATTGCACTATTCTACTGCAGAAAAATTACATGTCAAGGTTATTAATTGATGTAATAAAAAAGCATGCATTACATTTGCAAGTTGACAAGTTTAGCTAAGTATTAGCTCTAGAATTCCATGCCAACTAATCTTTTGGGGGTTGTCCTTGCTTCGTTTTGCTTATGCAAAGAACATTCCACTTCATGTATTGTGTAGGTGATAATCAGAATGGATTGGACATGTCATCTAACATCTTATACATTTGAATCATGGAATATTTCATCTGTATCATCGACCTGTGTTAATGACATGTAGCGTCAGACCCCACATATCATTGACTAGCTTGAATCATTGGTTGATTTGCTTACTTTGTTATCTCAGGACATAATCACAATAGAAGGTCTGAAACTAGACCATGTAAAGGCTGGAATATATATGCTGCACTGCTTACCTCTCAGACTGATTTAGGTGCATCCTTATCAAGTGATCACTAGCTGATACTGCTGAACATTATCTAAAGCTGGTACTGCCGAAGGCTGGCTAATGTCCTCGTGCACTTTCCACCCCTCTATGAAAAAAATTATGCATGCGATGTTGGCATGCTCAATAACAACATAGTTCCATTGATACAATGTAAAAGTTTTACGGATAAGTCTGTGTTGTAAGAAATATCTGCAGTAAAGAGAGTATACCAGTGATCAACCTGGGAATTGGCTGTATCGTTGATTTGAATTGCTATTCCATTATGATAATCTGTAACACATGCCATGTATGCTAGCAATATCTATATAGTCACAGTAAGCAAAAACATCTTGCTTATGGATGCAGATGCACCAGCTTTTTAGACAGGGTGATTGTGATAATCTGATGGAAAATTTACATGCTACAAAACAATATTTTCTTGCCTGGTGGTTTGAAATTTTACATGGATACAGTGTTGCATATAAGGTCTAAGAAATCAGGTGCTGCAAGTTTGTGAGCAAACCATTTTGGCACTATTCACCTTCCCAGCTCAACCCTAATACATCCCTCCTGGATCAACTATTCATCTCCTATATCAATATGTATTTGGCACCACTTTGCAACCCCCCCCCCATCCCCCAAAAGAAGAAGGTCAAAATTGTTTTTTTTTTTACTTGAAACTTCAAAGAGGCCACAAAAGCAGATGATATTTTTTGTCACAACTCACAGCTACTGTTCTGTCAGAAGGAAATAAACTATGTTTCTCATCAATAATATTGTACATTACTTACATGCCTAAAGCCAATAAAAAAGGGCGTACCCAGTAGCAGAGAGCTCCCGCTCTGTGCGGGGTCTGGGGAAGGGTGTCGGTGGCAAGCCTTAACCTTGCCTATGCAATGCGAGAAGACCGCGACTCGAACCGGGACCTTCCGGTCACAGGCGGTAAGACTCTACCGCTTGCACCAGGCCCACCCTTCACATGCCTGAATCCAATGAACATAAAAAATTGCACGAGAAACTACATGCAATCAACCAAGCAGATCTGCAAAATATAAGAAATATCTAGTGGAAAAGATTGCAATATGGGAAAGCTAACTATTATTAAAAGAATCAACTAATCCATCAATCAACCAGGACTACAGTTTTGTCATATATGCTGAACAATGGCCAATTCTTCCATGGACATGCTCTCCATTGCACCATCCATAGCTAACATTCTATTCAATAATCCATCCAGCTGGAGATTCAAAGAGCAAAGAACCAAAAGCCCGTTTTTAAGGTAGTAACAGCAGGCTGTCAGACTTGGTAGTGTCTTTCTGATGGATCAGTCATTTAGGTTAGCAATCAAAACTCAGAGGCTGAGAGGCTTCAGTACTTTATTACATTATGCCGCAGCCACAGTTCATACATAACCATGTGGAATGCATCGTAGGAGACAGGAGGTGAATGCCACACAAAGTGTTTCTGCACCTGTATTGTAACTTAACTTGTTAGTGCAGAACTAAACTGTAATTTAGTTAAGAATCTAGTTATATCAAACTGACATTTCCAAGCACTACACACAAATACTGACATTTCCGAACAATTGCCAAGGCAAATGATTCACTTCTTACACAAATACACTTCAGAGTAGCTAATTTGCTACTGACATATTATTGCTATTTTGACATATTATAGATAAATTTCCTATTACAGTCTAATTCAATATTTAAAATTTCAATGCTGCCAAGTGTAACTGGCCCTACTTTTTCGTAGGAGAACATTGAATGCAAAGAACATAGTAAGAGTACAGGTGTTCAGAATAAACAAACCTGAACTAGAGATTTATGTAATGAAACAAACTCCTCCTGTGATATAGACTTCAAGATATTCTTCAGTTGATATACATCTCTCTCCCTAAGTATAACCGCAAACTTTCTCCAGTCAAGGGCATCATTGAAAGGCAGGTCATAGTAGTCTGACAGAATAACTAAAAGGATATAGAAGAATATGTATCAGAACAATGTAATCAGGAAGAAACTAAATTACTCTATTCCCATAAAAAGGGAATAGAAAGAACAATGAGATGTATTGCCAAAGTATAAGAAATACTAACCAGGAACACAACCATAGTGTATTGAGTCAGATATACGGGCACTGTTAACTTGAGAGCCACCAGGACAGATACAGAACTTGGTACGGTAAAACTGCTTCTGATAAACTAGCTCTCCAATAGCTCTACTGATCCGATTGTTGCTGATAGCAAGCTCTGTGTCATTCTCCCAAACTCGTGCTAGGATAACCCTTATTTTGGAATTGCGATGGCCAGCCCAAAAGCCAAGAATTGTCCTGATTGAATTGCAAAACAATAATAAAAATATAATTAGTAATAGGCTAAGAGCAAATAGAGTTTATGATGTAGTCCCTTAAGTTCTTTTTCTGAGGTGTATTTTCGTTGGGACACGAGAAACGTGTAAAGCTAAGAGAATGGTAGAAGAAAATGACTATGGTGCCCAGGGTATTGTTGCCTTGAGAATATAACAGTGGCTAGTTGGGTGAATATTTAGTCATAAATGTGATGTGCCAAAGTAAAGATTAATGAGAGAAAAAAAGGAGAGAAGCCATCATTAAACAACATGCAAGCATTATATTTTAATAAGGTGGCAAAAACAAGTTCACAGCTGCAATCGACTTCCAATTTTCATATACCTAAGTGATTCTTAGCACTAGATTGGAGCAATGGGCAGTGTGAAACCATGCACACTTCAAGGCATGAATGAGGACACAACTGGGTAAGTAAGTGTGTTCCAAATAGAGTTCTCATTTGACATTTGAATATTTTTTGTTCCAATTTTTTGTGGCATTGAAGCCTTAGGCACTAGAGTACATGAAGGGTTGAGAACACTAACAGAATCTTGAAAATTCATTAGGAGAAACATACCAGTCATTCTCCACAGTACTTGTACTGAACAAATACTAACCTGTTCTCAATATCATTTCCTCCTTCAGGTAGGGCAAACGGCTGTAGTACTTGAGGAAGGGCAATATCCTTATGCGGTATAAAGTCAACATTATAGCTTGGCGAACATACAACTCTAATTGAGTTTTTCACCATGAATGGAAGTCCTTCAAATGCTCTCACACCCACATCATGGCAGGTAACAAAGAAGTGGTCTGCTCCTAGTGTCCTGTTCCAGTAAGGATACTTGTTTATCAAACCTTCTACGTAGTCCTTAACTATCACCGTCATATTCTCATATGTAGTACCCTGCAATGCCAAAACAACAAACGTACATAACTACCGTTACAATGAAACAAGAGCAGAAATAAAAGATGTATATAATAATAATATCAACCATACAGGGTTCCTTAAATTTGAAAATGAAAAGTCAACAGGTATCCAGAGGGAAAAACAAACGACTTGCAATTATTGTGAGACAACAAGTTAAGAAACCAAGGATCTTACATCAAAGTGATAACCTACCAAATCAATCAGCAGCCATAGGCACACATTAATTAACATACTACAATAACCCATTACAAGTGCAAGCTCAACTAAAAGGGGCGTACCCAGTGCAGAGAGCTCCCGCTCTGTGCGGGGTCTGGGGAAGGGTGTCAGTGGCAAGCCTTACCCTCGCCTGTGCAATGCGAGGAGACTGCGACTCGAACCCGGGACCTTCCGGTCACAGGCGGTAAGACTCTACCGCTTGCACCAAGCCTTACCCTCGCCTGTGCAATGCGAGGAGACTGCAAGCTCAACTAAAATGAAAATTACACAGATTCTACTCCCACTGTCAAACCATTAATCATGATTTGTCCAAACCTTAGTGAAAGCATCACAATGCAACCAATCAAGAAAGATGATTGTAACTACACTACACATTATGCTAACCAAAAGATTCAGAATAACCTAACTCCTATGAGGCAATATTTAGCATTAGCAAATGTTCACATGGGCAACCAATGGCAAAGTGGTTTGGGGCACGCTAAGGACAGTTCAACATTAATCCAATGCGCCAACGACTAATACCATCAGTACTGGGTTACAGCGAGATGAAACGAAGGATAGAGTCCAAGAGAGATAGGGAAGCCACCTTTCCGCGCATCTTGTGTGGCGATATGGGGACGAAGAAGAGGTGCGCCTGGTCGGGGTCGTCGGTGCGGAAGCGGCTCTCTCGGATGTTCTGAAAGAAGTAGCCCTCGCTGGCGTACTTCCCCGTGAGCTTGCGAGGCGTCTGATAGAATGTCTTGGGGTCGCCGTCCGGGTAGATGTACACCTTGAAGCTCCGCTCCATCTCCGCGTAACCCGCCGCGAACGCCTCCGGGGAGTGGTACACCGACGAGGAGGACTGGAGCCGGAGGAGGGGACGGGACTTGGCGGCGGCGGCCGCGACCGCGGGGTCCGCGGCGGGGCGGAGGGAGCGAAGTGAGAGGAAGGAGATGGAGAATAGCGCGAGCGCGGCGAGGAGGAGGAGCGCGCGCGGGAGCGGTGAGGACGCGGCGGCGCCCGGGAGGCGGCCGGCCATCGCCGGAAGTGGGCAGGAGTGAAGTGGAGGACTCCCTGTGATGCGGGGGTGGATCGAAGGGAGCGGAGAAGTTGAGGGTTTTCTGCGAAAATAGGCGGGTCGGTCGTTGATTCGTTTTCGTTTGATCTTCGTAACCCATAGTTCGGTTAGGGCAGCGTTAAGGCAGTTTTTTTTAATCCACAAGAAGAAACCACGCGTACTAGTTTTTATGACATGCACATAGTTTTGAGTTTTTTTATTAAAATACTTTTATCTCCAATTACATGTTTTTCTTTTGGTTCTCGTGCGGCATCGCTGTTCGGCGAACGTCCACCTGATTCTTGTACGGCGAACGATTGGACAGCTTCC